ATATATATATATAGTTACCTTATATGTATATAAGACCAATTGGTAATTTATTTTCTTTTTTCATTGATGTGTATGTCTTCTCCTTTTATTCCACCTAAAGGTGTTATTAAGTAAGTGCAAAGTTTCAAGGATCCTTTTTGAAATTAAGAATTAATACTTAAACATTGATATAATCATGGGTGGATTTCTTTCTTCATTCTGCCTAAGGAATAATATATGTACATTAATATGATAAAAATATATTTTTAATTTTTATAAATATGTAAACATTTGATTTTAAAAATTTTGAATATGTAAAAGTTTAGATATCACATTAAATTATTAAGCTATGCAAAATCAAAATGACAAGTGAATGATTAATACGATGAGTTATCAATCTATACTAATCACATCAACATTTAATATAATAGAGCCAACCTAAGTGATTATGACCAGCATATTTCAAATGGGACGGAAAAAAAAGGTGATTTTTAATTTTTTTAATAAAACAAAAAGAATTGTAATAAAAAAATGAACATTTCATAATAAATGCTCAAGTCCATCCAATAAATTAATTTTATAATAATCAATGGTAAGGAATAAATCAATTCGGAATAGTTTAAAATTTAATTAATTAATTAATTTTTAAACTTAATTTATGAATTAAATGAATTCAACTTCAATTAAAAATTAAGTTCCTAAATAAATGAGTTAAACTTGAATTATGTATAATTTAGGTCATTTGATTCATGAATTGACTCGACATAAAAATTATAATTTTTTATAATTTAATTTCTATTTAATTTCAACTTATTGAAAATATAAATACCCTTTTAAAACTTAGTTACAAGTCAATAATAATAAAAGAAGTGGACACCTTAAGGCTTCATATAGTTAGGGACTAAATTTTGTATTGTTTTATGTAAAGGTGAAATAATTTTTATTTATGCATACTTTGCTTATAATTATGTTTCTTTAGGATCATATATTGTAATCTTGCAAAACTAATAAAATAAGTTTGTTTTGCCTTTTAAAAAAATTTAAACAAACATTTTATCTAAAATTTATTAATAAATAAAATTTGTATAATGTATAAGATTAAAAAAAATGACTCTTGGTCCTTGTGGCTTGAGCTAACAAATTAAATCAAGCTAGCTATCAGCGACTTTGAATCAAATCAAGTTCAAATTGAAAAACAAAATTCATATTAAACTTTACTCAAGTTTCAATTTGACCTAAAATTACCGAGCTGAACCAAACTTGCTCAACTCGACTCAATTTTAGCCTTATACTTATTTGATCTTGTTCTTAAAGTGAACATTAGACAACAAGAAGGGGGTTGAGTTGTTGTCTTTTTAAAAAAAAATTTGTTATTTATAAAGATAATTCATTCAGAAGGTGAATCTTCTAAGTGTTAAAAAATTTAGTTTTCTTGTGAAGCTATCTTCTGAGTAATTTAACACAATAACATATTATGGAACAAAGATATATAAAGCAGAGAGATAACTACAAAAAGTAAGGAGATAGAGTTAGAGAGATTGTACACCAAATTTTATATTGGTTCACCATAAACTAGGCTATATATATTCAATCCTCACACATTCTTGTGAGAGTTTTCACTAATACAACAACTGTTGTTTCAAGTTACAACACCAGTCATGTGCTAAAACAAGTTCCTCACTACCCAACCACCTGTTGTTAGTGATTTTCACTCAGCCACCTGCTGAGATTTCTTCCTCAACAACCTGTTGAGATACCCAAATTCACTACCACCTGTTATGAGGTCTTACAACCATCTAGTTGACTCCTTTTTTCTCCTTTCTACACCTCTATAATTCAGACTTGGGTAGGGAAAGCTTGCTATATGGAT